CTACAGGATGGGAGAGCCTCGTGTGCTATAAAGGACTATTGCACACCTGCAGCCAAGCACATATACATGAGTTTGAGTCTGTGAAGACAGTGATTTGGGGAGCTCACTGTGTCTCTATGAAATACATTTTGAACATACAGAATAGCAGCAGATTTGATTAACTATAAATTGCTGCTTCTAGAAAGCCACACATACTGCACAACAAGTAAAAACCAGGTAGTGAGTTGTTGTGTTTTTAAAAGCCTTAGCTGCAAAATATTAGCACATACAAATAATCAGGACAACTGCAGTGATTAATGACATTTTTTATGTTGGGAATACACGCTGTAATTTGCGGGGACAAAACATCTGAATAATTCTACTTCACACAATGCTTGGGTGGGTTTTTTTTATTGTAATTCACTTATATAATTTACTTAATTTTAAGTGCATAGTTGTAATGCAGCCAAGATTTGTACATAAAGGAAAATCAAGCATCTTCTCAAAGGGCAAAGTGATCACATTTGAGTAATTCCTCCTACTAGAAATCTTAGCCGTTAGGTATGTGATTAAGATTCATCGTTTCCCCTTATATCAATATAATTAGTATCACTGCAAACACATCCTCAGAAGAACAGACATGTTTCAGAAAAATAATTCTGCATATGTGTTTAGGTTCAGTCACAATAATTAATGTGCAATAACACTCAGAGTAGAGTGTGATGAGAGGAACATGCATTCTCAGCAGTCTGCTGCTGGGTGGGAGCAAACAAAATGCATGGGAGATGCTTTCAGCTCAAAGAAAAACTGCTTTTTGGTTATGTCACAGAGAGAACAGGAGTCGTGTAAAGTCTGAAACAAGAAAGAATTATCACTAATATTTCTTATCGGTTTTAGGCCGTAAATAGCCGGTCCTTAAGTATTCACAGAGTGCAGCACAGGTGCAGGATGGTCTGACTGCCACGTGAGAGGGTGTTGTGGATGCAAGAGCAAAAAGAACAGGCTTAACTGTAGCAAACAGCACAGAATGTCTTTGTTTTTCACTGGCTATTAAATTCCCAAAATAAGATGGTATTCATTTAAGAGGTGGGTATGATTTTCCCCAGGTGGCAGCACCAAGTAATAAAGAGACTTACAGATCCATTGCTCTGCCCTGCTACTCTAGGTGTGTTTAGAAAAGCTTTTAAGAGATGAAAGGAGTAGGGAATTGGCAGAGTCTGTTTCCTGCTAAGCACAGACAGAAAGGCAATGATTTGATTGAGCTAGGAAGAAATTACTTGTACCTAAACCAAAAAGAGATGCAGGAATAGCTGTGAAAACCTGTTTCTTTTCCAGATTCAAGCTAATATGGTCTGCCTTATACTGGTGTAGATGGAAGGAAAAGCTTATCCTTTAGATGCTTGTCAGAAAGAGAGGGAAGAATTGCCTGTAATGCTACTGAATTGAATTGTAACTCGGGCAGTGAGTTAGAACAGAGACAAGTTGCTTGAATTGGTAGGTACAAATTTCTTGTCTAGTGTTACATTGAATTTCTCTTTCAGTGTTTTCTCTATTTCTTCATCTGTGAGGATTCTGATTTCCATAAGATCCATATTATCCCTATAATTGTACTTCATCTCAGTGAGCTTCAACCCCACCAGTGCCCGGATGCCATCAGCAGTCTGCAGGCTGCAGATAGACTTGGTGACGAAGAGCGAGCCGGGGTCTGTCTGCAGGTGGGTGTTGCAGCCTCTGAACTCTTCGATGTCTCGTGGCTGAAGAGTAAAGAAATAAACCCGACGGCAAACTTCATTTTCCACATTTTGGGAAGTGGAGTCGCTTTGGTTGTTTACCTGCTGCTTCCTTTTCACCTTCTCAAGGTACCAGGTCCCACTCTCCTCCTGGAAGCGAAAGATCCCAGGAGTCTGTGGCTGATCCACCCCTGAAATCAGCTCCATTGGCTGCCACATCTGGTAGGCCATCCCAAACCCCCCATCCACAATGTAGGATTTGCCATCAAGCACCACTTGTAGCAGCAGGTGATCAATTTCATCTGCATATGCCTGATGCTCAGGGACATAAACTTTTGCTCCCAGAAGGATGACATTGTAGCCAAGACTTTTCAGGACCCAAGATAAAAGGTAGTTGTTTTCCATGCACCAGCCCCCACGGTTCTTCTTCACTATCTTGTTGTAGGTTGCTTCCAGATCCAGCTCAATGCTTTCCCCACAGTGGATGCTGAGGTTTTCAAAAGGGACAGACTGGACATGGTGCTGTAATATATCTGACATGGTACCCAGGTCCGGCTTATTGGGGGAGCCCCGGTAAGAAATTCTGGCAAAATACTCCTTGATATCCATGCTGCCTCTGAGAGAAGGGTGGAAAAAATAATAGGTTGTGTCAGAAGTGATGGAGGGATCTTCCCCATCAACAGCCTGCTCAGAAGAGGAGGGGGATTTGACTAATGGCTCTATCAAAGGCAGCTGAGTGTGAGTATTAGCACTGAGAGAAGCCAATGGGATGCTGCTGATGAGCACAAATGTTATTTTTAATCGTTTTTTTACAGCTGTGACGAGAGGCTCCAGCTGTGCTAAGCACATTTCAGCAGAGTTCCTGCCCAGCAAAGCTACAAATCTCCATAGGAAGGAACAAAAGCAGTAGCAGTGATGTTTCCCCTTTAGAAATTATAGGAACTGAGACTCTCCAGATCTGAACTGCTTTGCTTGTGGTTTGACTCAGCGAAGCAGAGGCAGAAAACAAATCCTCCCACTCTTGCAGAGTGATCCGGAGCCTTCCCTGCAACCAAATCTGAAATAAATCTGTCCTGTCTGTCCTGTCAGGGTAGTTCCTTCATTATTTAGGCAGCCTGGCACGCACTGGTCTCACCTGCCCCTGCTCTCCATGCTGGCAGTAGCAGATGTGACCTGGAGCGCAGAAGGCAGTTTCAGGGCACAAAAGGCTGTCGAAGGTCTTTTGCTGCATCTGCTGTGAGCCACCTCCCTGCAGCACAGCTTAGCTCCCCAGCTCTGCTAAGCACAGCCCTATGCCAGCAGCTTGAGGAAACCAAGTTTTGGTCCAAAACTACAAGGTTCAGGGGCTTTGCATTTTCTGACATCATTTTTTGGGATGCATTTGCTCCTTCTACTCATGGTGTCTCCTGTGGTGGGTGGCTGTCCATGGGTAAGGGACCAGGCATCACCCCTGCTGGGATGGCAGAGACCTCAACAGGAAATTGTTTGACAAACATGGGGGTGGAAAGCAGTCCCAGCCCTGGATGGAAGGAATGGGATTTTGATGGAGCCAAGTACTTGTTATTCCTCCCCAGGCACTGCTAAATTTCAGACATCTGTAAGTATGGAGCAATGTTGTTCAGATTATTGACCCTAGAGGTCTCAAAATGTTCTCTTGTTCCTGTACACCACGCTCCAAGTAAAATCATAAGAAAAACTCTAACTGTTCCAACAGGATTATATTCTCAACCTGATGAAAAATCACATACCCAAATGGGTATTTGGGAAAGATACTTTCAGTACATATACAAAGCAATGCAAATGAAAATTCCTATTTGGCATAATATCCTGGCAGAACCACAGGGTGTCACGGTTTGGCTCACAACGTCTCCTAACCTTTCAGATAGAAGCTTTCCAGAACTCTAACTATTGCATCGTGGCCACCACCATGTCTCAACATCTGACACGCAGGCCTGAGTGATCCACTATGGGATTAAGGCATCAGATGATTATCTGAACAATTCTCTTTGTTCAGCTTTTGGCTGTTCCCAAGATTTTCCTCAAAGCCCCAGAACTACAAGTCTATTTACTTCTGAAAGCTTGGCAAGAGCTTAGTTCTTGCCATGTGAATTTTAAAACACCAGTGAGCTGGTTTTCCCTTTCTTTCTCCCTTCCTTTCACCTTGCCACAGCAGGCAGAACACATATAGTAACTTTTACTTAAAAGGAAAATGTTGGTGTGAGGTTTGTCTGTCTGTCTGTCTGTCTGTCTATCTCTTGCAGGTGTTTATAAGGCCCTTTTAACTGGGGCAGCTGAAATAAGGCACTTGTCACAAATGCCCGAGTTGCTTCACGCTGACAACTGAGTAAATAAACCACTGTATTTACTACACCGAGCAGCTGAGCACTCCCTGCTCTGCCCTTACACCATTTCTGCTGTGTTCTGGCTCCAGACAGATTTAACTTCCTGGTAAGGAGGTTAAAAAAAAGGCTTACCTGGAAATTCAGTTCAAGTTCCAGTGTACCTCCAGGGGTTGGGGGGCTGGTTCTAGGCTAAAGCAGGTGGTGTGGTTGGCTGTCCTCTACCTAGTACAGACAGGGCTTGAGGACTGACTGCTCACCAGCTGCTCTTCAGGGGAATGTCTTTGCCCTGAACTTGCTTTCACCCGCCTCTGCCAGATTGCAAAAGCTGAAAGAAAAAAAAAGCGGAAAAAAAAAGCCCGAAGGGTGGAGCATAAGAGCTGGAGTGAGCCAGCAACGCCAACAGCACTGGCTCAACACAAGCCTGGCTGTTGTTAGAGCAGAGGCTGCTTCACACAGTCACTCACTTCATGCTCTCTGCAGGGCCAGCTCAGGCAGTCACCAAAAGGCTATGTTTTTCTTTCAGTAGCTTGCTGGATGCACTCAGGTGATGTATTTTTTTTCCTCCCAGGTATTAGGTTACTCTTTGTTTAGAAACGTGGTGAAGAAATCTGGCACAGATTCAATCTGAGAAGGTTTTTGCACTGTTTCTGAAAATCAGCAAGATTTCAGCACAGTAATTTGCACCTGCAACCCCCTTGCCCCAGTGAGCAGCGTGAAAATTTCATCACTGCCTTTGCTTCATTTGCTCTCTGTGATTGACATGTACTTTTCATTACAGTAAATTTCATAGAATATAAGAAAGCACTGGGACAGCAGTGTGTCTTCCTTGGTGTCTGCCCACAGGTATCCCAGGG